AAGGAATCTAAGAAGCACCTGCTTGTTTCGATCTTTACAAAAGAACTAGCTTTTTCCAGTCACTCGTGACAACAACAAGCTAAAAACGACTATTTACACAAAAACCAACACATACCGACCGATTACTAGACCAGTCTTCGTACAACAAGTCAATAACCAGAGTATAATACCATCAACTGACGTGATACAACTCACTTTGACTCTGAAGATGACTACCGCACAGGTCATGACAGGTTGTGGAAACGTCAGTCACTGTCAACAACAACAGTCCAATTCAGGACTGCATTCACCTGGACGATCAAACTCAACCTACTTTTCTGCAATTGCTTAGTATAGTTCCTGATATACGTGTACCCCAGATCTTAGTCTTCAAGCTGCTCTTGGCCCGACATATTTGTCACATACTATATCCAAAAGAATACGTTTTACATGCTCAGGGGATTAACGTAAGTAATGCACATTCGGAAACCAGCTTTTTCCTTATTTTCTTACATGTGGAATCTAACATGATAATCAGTGCTGCTCAGTCCATGGTAATTGATTGACATTCTGGGGGTGGTTACATTGAAGATTAGAGACTAACTCACTTATGTCGAGAGAGGCGCAGATTCACTTGATAGTGAAATACGGCTGAATTAAACCGTCACCCGGTTAGCCCCAGGTTAGATGATATTTACTTCCAGTCAAAATGGCGGCCAGTTTTATTTTCACTCCAAAAATTAGTTTAACAGGAAAAATTTGCGGCGGCCCCATATCACATATTAATAGTCATAATTAGTTCTGTCATTCCTGAAAATTTGGTGCTTTTATTAAACAAAAAGTGAATCCGGCCCCAAATCTGCACATATCTGCCCCACTGAAACGAACCTCTTTTCTTAGCCAATCAGCGGTGTTCAGTTGACACTATCAATTGACTTGGATATGTTCTACAAGAATGGTCCGGCATGGAAGCCTCCAAAACGGCTGAAACAGTTTGTGTTGTTCGTTTAAAACTGTAGAACTTGAATGGAATCTACTATTGCTTGTGAATGGAAGATTATTTCAGGATTTTTCTACAAACGTGGAAGTTCAATGCTGAAAGATTTTGTGCTTATACTCCCGGCAATATCAATCAATGAAAATCAATCATTGATTGCAATCAATATAATCCATAATAATCAATAATAATCCATTGATTATTATTGATTGGTTCAACCAATCAATAAAAATCGATACTCACTCACCAAATGGTCTTAATTGCGATTGATTATTATTGATTTTTATAAATAATTGATAACTGATTACGCAACTTTATCGCGCGTAGTAGCGCGGACTTGCGTCATAAATCACGGGTGTATTGTGTGTCCATGATAACTCGACTGCACTCGTTCCCGTGTTTTGATCAGCCCCACGGGATTGTCACAAAACACTTGTTTCCGGACTTCACTTGTTCCAGACCTATGTTGGTGTTTGAGATGGCGAAGCAAGTAGAGCTATCCATACGTTGTATGGCGCACGGTTTGTTTCCAAATTATTTTTGTCAGTTGTACCATTTCATTGTCTTTGCCCTCATGTTTTCTATTTACGGCATTCATAGAGATACTGTGGTATAAACATATTCTCTGTCAGTTGTACACATCACTCTGTCGGATGTAGCTGTACGGGCTACAAATTGTCGGTTGTACACATTCTTCTGTCACTGTCAGTTGTAAATATTTACAGTGTCGGTTGTACACACTACTCTCTCGATACTCTGTCGGTTGTACGCACTACTCTATCACTTGTAAAATTTACTCTGTCAGTTGTTTACAAAACTCTGTCGGTTGTAAACATTTACTCTGACGGTTGTACGCTCTCCTCTGATAGTTGTGTTCATAACTCTGTCGGTTATGTACATTACTTTGTCGGTTGTACACAGTACTCTGTTGGTTGCAAATATTTACTCTGTCGGTTGTAAACACTTACTCTGACGGTTGTACGCCCTACTCTGTCGGTTGTGTTCATAACTCTGTCGGTTATGTACATTACTTTGTTGATGTATGCACTACTCTGTCGGTTGTGTACATTACTCTGTCAGTTACATGCACTACTCTGTCGAATGTGTACATTACTCTGTCAGTTGTACGTACTACTCTGTCGGTTGCAAAGATTTACTCTGTCGGTTGTAAACATTCAGTCTGTCGGTTGTAGAGATTTACTATGTCGTTTGTACGTACTACTGTGTCAGTTTGTGTACATTACTCTGTCGGTTATGTACCTTTAATACTTTGTCGGTTGTACGCACTGCTCTGTCGGTTGTTAACATTTACTCGGTCGGTTGACGTACTACTATGTCGGTTGCAACATTTACTCTGTCATTTGTACCCACTAATCTGTTGGTTGTAAATGTTTACTCTGCTGTCCCCGGGCTCTGTCGGTTGTACCCATTACTTTGTCGGTTGTGTACATTACTCTGTCAGTTGTCACTACACTGTCGATTGCAAACATATACTCCGTCGGTTTTACGCACTACTCCGTTGGTTGTATCAAACATTACACACTACTGAAATGTTCCTTTCGCCTGACAGCATAGCATAGCCGACTGAAACTTCATTTTTGTTTTTCATTTGTTTGATTTTTGATTTTGTTTTTACTGAAAAGGGACAAAGGAACTAATTGTGGCGTCGGAATCAACAGGGGCTCTGGTCATTTCAGGTATCTCTTTATTCCACACGGTACCCTCTTGCTTACAGGACAATAAATGTTGTTAATCAGTTCAATAATTATATAGGTGTTCTTCCTTTCTTTCTTACTTAACTTTTAGTCTACTCTATTTAATTTGCTGTTATATTGATTGTTTTGGTAATGAAATCTTCATGTAGGGGACAAAGTCAATAAATATGATAACAGATATTCAAGGTGGTCGATCAGCGGGTTTTTGCTGTACCCTTTTGTTCTGGGTAAATTACTGGTTGGCTATTTATATGTCAAATCAGTTATCATAACATAACTCCTTTAAATATTGGGTTTTGTTATTTGAGCGACATTCTACTTGCCTTAACATCCTTTCGTATTAACCAAGAGATAATTATCTAATAGTAGCCCATTCTCTCTTGTGTTGACTTAATTTTTCAGAAAGTTGCAAATACCAAAATGATTTTGTGTGCGTGTTTGATTAAAAAAAACAACAACAAAACACTGAGGGTGGTGGATTGGTGGGGTTCTCATACACTACCCTTTTTTGTCTGTGTAAATTTCCAGGCATTTGATCGAGTGTGAGTAAATTTACTGGCTAATTATTAGAGTGTGATCATCTAACTGCTTGACTTCTACAAGATCAACACTAGGGGCTCTTTCATCATTTCGTATAGCTCTTTATTCCACGAAAAACCACAGGATAAGGGTGATACAAACAGTGGTATTTTTCCCGTATGCGATGTTACATGCCTTAACATCCTTTCATAGTAAAGTTATTTTCCAGAAGGTGTTTTATTAACAGAAAAAAAAAACAAAAGGAAAACACTCAGTGTGGTAGATGGGTGGGCTTCTCATACACTGCCGTTTGTTGTCTGTGTAAATTACCAGGCTAGAGGAAATTTACTGGCTGAATTAGCAATAGTTTGTCGGAGTGTGATCATGTAACTGCTTGACGTCTAGATCAACACTATTATTATGCCGAGCAACGTGTGGAAAACCCTGGCTGGTTTTTTTTACTTTATGGAGAGTCACCAAGTAGTCGGAAATATGGAATCTTCTTTGTTTTTATCTTAAACTCTATTCAAAAGTCCAGGACATGTATATAGTGATTTTACTTCACACGTTAAATAGGTAGATGTAGTAGAATACTACGTACTATTATGCACTAATTCCCTTGTATTCTTTTATCTGTTGCTATTATTCACTAGTTGTTCACTTGCAAGTAAAATCAATCAAATTTACTTGAATAATGTTGTTGAAGTACGTACAAATAATCAGTATTTGAATCGTTTTAGTATCCAGATTATTTACACAAAAGTGTAAATGGTTTTAAACATGTGCTTGATTTGCCTAAGAAAATGTTTCGAACAAGCACATGCCACTTGTGAAAAGACACTTTCCAAAATAAATTGGTTTCGTCTGAAGAATATTGGCAACAATATTCATTTTTGGAAAATCCATGTTATAATATTTTTCCAAAAACCTCTCAAAGAACTTCTCAGTTAATGTTTTAAGGTTATGAAAAAGCGACAATTTACTTATTATTATTATTACTGTTATTATTATTATCATAAGTAATAAGTCAATTTTACATAGAAATGCAATTGAACGTGGAGATTGTCTTACAGTTTAGGTGACAACGATTATTTATTAATACTCAGTGTACTTTCCCTGCAATTAATAAATCAAGAGATCATGCACAATAATCAGTGGTTTGTACGCATTATCATTTTTTTCAAACAGAACATAGTAATAAATCAACAAAAAACGCTAATAAGATTTTGGGCTGAATGATGTACAGTGGGAATACAATTCATCCAATTTGAGGTTTAGCCGTCTTTTCCCAGCCAAAACTTAGTTCTAAGGAAAGAGTTTAGATTGAAGGTTTACATCAGTGTAAGTTAGTCCACACCTAAAGAAAATGGGAGTTGACGCGACACAATCTGTATAGAGTAAGGCTTTGATGAAATGGTGCACAACGAGAGACCAATGGTAGCCTGAATTTCAGACGTTTCTTTCGGGAGAAAGAGACTCGAAAGGATACAGTCACAAACATTCTAATGTTCACTCTGGGCTCAGATGATTTGCTACCCAGTCTTACCCTTAATAGCATAAAGTATAGACCGTTTTGTTTGCAAATTAACGTTGCCCCTTTGACTTTCGATGTCCAAAAAACGTGGGGAAATCTCTATAAATTGAATTGACGTTAACTATTGTTTGTGCTGATGATCCATAATGTAAGAGGCTATATAAGACTCTGTTACAAGAATTTTTTAAAAGACCTTCTCCTTGCAATACAAAAGCCAGTAACCGCCAGTCCCACTGTCCATCTTTTATTTATCAGTTCACTGTTTCATAATCGAGTTGGCAACATAACATGCAGTCCTAACAAATAAATCGACACCATATTCAGAACTTTGGGCCAAGGGATCCACAATGGTTCTAAATGTACCTAATTCATCGGCTGTCAACGGATTATTGACCTCGGGCACTTCCACCTCAACTGTGTCTTCATGAAGAGGCAAGGGGTTGTGCAAATCAATACTGTAGGAATTGGGATCGGGTTTGAGGATGTCACAAACGCCAGTAAAACCAGCAAACCGATCAGCAATAACACCATTTATCCACATCTGATACGGTGACAGATTGGTTTCTGTACTAAGTGAGTGAAAATTCCACCCCATTCGAAATTCTTCGAGAGCCCTATGTATCCTGGGCAAAAAAACGTACTGCAAGCAGAAAAGATCTACTTCATTGGAGGGGTCTAAATGTCCTTCTTCTTCAAGATGATAAAAAATAGAAATGAAATTAGATAAGCAGCATCGCGTGGGATCTCTATGCAACCGCTCAATTCTTTGGTTGTGGACAGAAGAGCTAGTCAAATGAGACGACCTGTCGGAGCCTCTCTTTGCATTCATATACCGCGTGACTTCAACATTTTCTGCACCACGATCCGAACACAGCCGAGAGGGCAATCCATACTTGCGAGTAGCTTCAATGAAATTGTCAAGGACAGTCGCAGCTTTGTTATCAATTGAGCACTTCAGAAATGTTATCATTCGCGAATATCCATCGATGCCACCGTGAACAACAAATCCCCACCGAATTAGTTTATGTAAACCATTGATGTGCCACAAGGCGTTTGGTCCAGGAACGCTATATTTTCTTCGAACAGTGGCTTGTGTCCAACAGAGAAGAACACTAACTGGATCATGATCTCAAATAATATCCCTAACCCTATGGCGGGGTACAAAAACCCCTTTACTTCTAAGAAATTATTCCAATTACCATGCGCTCGCCACACTCCGGAAAACTTTCTTTAATTGACTTAATTTCTTCCCCTAACTCTTCGTCAGAAACGTTAGTGAATTTATCGTTACCAAATTCATATCCTGCTTCCTTTAGACGCCTCCAAAGACTGGTCCTGGAGATGCAAAGAGTAAAAGCTATTAGAGTCCACGAAAAGCGCCATTGTCCGAAGAAATTCAACTTGCACAAGATTAACGACCAACCGTGGCCTCCCGACTAATCCGGTGCGGTAAACCAAGGCAACTGGCAGCCAAGAGGAAACAAAAGCAGCAGAATCTAAGTCATACAATTTCTTCTCAACACAATCAATAATACCTTGCAAGTGGCTCGATAATTGCTTAACTTTCAAAGCGACTTTGTCATTAGGCCGTTCTATATTTCTAAGAGATGAGCTTAGACAGGAGGCAACTCTTTCACAGCCAATCCTGGCGGAATGAAGACGCTGTAACAAATTTTCATAAACAGCATAGTCATGTCCGCATATGGGCTCTTCGCATTCACCAATGAGGTTTTCTGTATGCTAAAGGAACTGAGTCTAAGAGCTATCGGCAGAATTCATGTCAAATTGAAAAAAGTCACCGAACACAAAGCGTACTCCAAGCGCAATGTACCGTACCTTATTGTGAAATGACCCATACACGAACCAGACAGCGCGTCACGCAATCCTAAGGAAGATCCAATGACTTGCCAGCAGACTAGACGCAGAGTTAAAGGATTTTAGGATAATGATAATTCTAAAAGTAAATGAAATAAAATTATATGCTTTTTTGATCCTGAACTGAAAGAAATGATAAAAGATCCGTATTCAACCCTCATGATCTGAACCGATTTCCTAAATAGACAATCCTCGGACATCGCCTAATAACACCTGCTATAACACACACCAAGGGGCAATTGCACCAAATAAATATAAAAGGAAGCAACTTTCACCGAAAATAGCACTTATTTACCTGCGCATTTTTCTGCAACATACACGATAGAGTAATTTTTTTTAGGACAATTAAGAGAACAGAAAAAACACAGGAAAACGTTTGCAAGAGCCACCACCTGCTTACCTTAGTTATTTTTAGCTTTGTCAGTCTGACAGAGTAAAGGTTTACAACCGACATAGAACACGTGCAAAACTGACGAAATAGCGTGTTCAATTTGCAACCGACAGACTAAAGATTGACAACTATCTGAATAGTGAGTAGAACCGACAGAGTAAATGTTTTAAACCGACGCAGTATTGCATACAGTTGACAAAGTTTATTTTTACAACCGTCAGAGTAGTGCGTACAACCGAAAGAGGAAATGTTTACTGACTGACAGAGTAGTGCGTGCAACTGACAGAGTAAATGTAAGTTACAACCGGCAGAGTGGTGCGTACAACTGACAGAGTAAAGGTTTACAACCGACAGAGTAAAGGTTTACAACCGACAGAGTAAATGCTTCCAACCTACAAAGTAAAAGTAGTGCGTACAACTGACAGAGTAAGACCCTGTTTACATGGAGTGGGGGACCCCAGTCTAGTGGGGTAAGTTTCTTTTGTTTTGTGTCCCCCAGAGCGTGAAAACAAAAGAAACCAACCCCACTAGACCGTGGTCCCCCACTCCATGTAAACAGGCCCTTAATGTCTACAAAACACTGAGTAGTTTGTACAACCAACATAGAAGTGCTTACAACTGACAGAGTAAAGGTTTACAACCGACAGAGTAGTACATACAACTGACACAGTTTATGTTTAACAACCGACGGAGTAGTGCATACAACCGACAGAGTAGTACTTAGAACTGGCCAACAGAGTAAATGCTTACAACCGACAGAGTAGTACATACAACTGACAGAGTCAGTTGATGTTTAACAACAGACAGACCGACAGAGTATATATTTACAACCGACAGAGTAGTGCGTACAACCGACAGAGTAAATATTTACAACCGACAGAGCAGTGCGTACAACTGACAGTGATCCGTACAACTAACAGAGTAGTGCATACAACTGATAGATAAAAGTACACAACTGACAGAGTAGTGCTTCCAACTGACAAAGAAATGTAAATAACCGACAGAAAAATGTGCACAACCCGACAGAGTAAATATTTAAAACCGACAGAGTATTGCGTACGACTGACAGAGTAATGATTAAGAGTAAATTCCTCCGGGGCTGTTCATAATCAATCATTAAGTTTTTGTTTTTGTTAGTTCAATAACCACACAGCAGTTCAATAAGTACACAACAGATCAATAACCACACCAGTAGTTCAATGACCACACATTAGTTCATTGACCGTAAACTACATGTAGCTGCGGGAAAAATAGCCACAAATACGTTAGTTAATTTTAATAAGAATGTATAGCATTAAGTAAGTGGTAAATACTCATTTAGCTATGGTACGTGAACTAAATAGATAAATAGCTATGTTACACTGTTATTAAGTTCTAGTGAGCTCACTAATATAGACAGGAACATAGACTGATGTTAATTTTAAAAATTTTTAGTCTGCTCAGAAGGTCTGTCATTCTCGTCAGGGGCACAGTGAACAGACCTGGAAAGAGAGTCTGTGCTGAAAAGGGAAAACACCGACTCGGTCCGGAAAAAACTTCAACTAGAAACCTGACAAATTTAAGTCTATATCTACATCGGAATACGAAAACCGAACTGGTGAGAAAGAGGCCTCAGTTGCACACAAGGATTACTGTGACGTAACTCCTTCAAGTTGCGCGCGAAAGTTGACAGCGATTGCCGGTTAACATTTGAAGAAATTACGCATGATGTGGAATGACGTAAGCCATCGAGTGAAGAAAACATAGTACGGTCATCCTACTGGTTGCTTTTATTCAAGCTACGGTGAGTTAGACGTATTTGAAACTTTATTTCTAATTCGTTTTGAAAAGAAAGCTGTTGGTACCTTTCTAGGCATCGCCTGCAATTGTTATGACCTCTTATATTTGCACAGACATTATCGTATTGAAAGCAGATTTTTGTAATATGGTCAGGAAACGAGCAGCGGCCTTTCAATTTTGAAGCAACCAAGAAAGTTAGAAGTTCAGGACTTGTACGGTAAAAAATAACTATTTTTAAACATGGATTGATGGTAGTCGACTCAGGCACGTAGGGCCAGCTGTGGTACCACGGTTTGAAACGTGCGGAAAGAGAGCAAAAAAACAAGATTTCATCCACCGTTAACTGTTTATTTATTTTTTTCTGCTTTATCAACGCGCGCTTTGTCGGGTTTCTAGTTGAAGTTTTCTCCGGACCGAGTCGGTGTTTTCCCTTTTCGGCGCAGACTCTCTTTCCAGGTCTGTTCACTGTGCCCCTGACGAGAATGACAGACCTTCTGAGCAGACTAAAAATTTTTAAAATTAACATCAGTCTATGTTCCTGTCTATATTAGTGAGCTCACTAGAACTTAATAACAGTGTAACATAGCTATTTATCTATTTAGTTCTCGTACCATAGCTAAATGAGTATTTACCACTTACTTAATGCTATACATTCTTATTAAAATTAACTAACGTATTTGTGGCTATTTTTCCCGCAGCTACATGTAGTTTACGCTCAATGAACTAATGTGTGGTCATTGAACTACTGGTGTGGTTATTGATCTGTTGTGTACTTATTGAACTGCTGTGTGGTTATTGAACTAACAAAAACAAAAACAACAAAAAAAAAGGTGACGAGCTGACACACTAAACAAGATTTTTTTACAGCTGAAAAGTGCATCAAGAATCCTGCTGGATTAGTTTTTCTTATAATTTGACAACGCAAAGAAAAAAACTCAAACTTACCTGTTGCTTTTTTGAAAAATTCATCCCTCACATCAGAACAGTTCATAAATCGATCCATCATGACCCATGGGGCTTTCCCCAGCCCTGGCGGTACTTCCTTTGGAGGATTGTTTAAGTAAACGGACACTGTACCCTGCGATCTCTCCATGTAGAGCTTGGCAAAGACCGTTTGGGAAACTCCATTTTCCGCCAACCAACTTGTTATCTTTTCGGCCAAAAGACGGGGAGGTATCGAAGGCGTTGTCTGGCTATCTTGAAAATCTTCC